TCCCCGTGGCCTCTGCTGGGGTCGGCCCGCGGCCAGTTCTCCGCAGGTGAGTGGCCCCGATGCCTGCCCGGGCCCCGGAGGGGTGCAGAGGCTCCTCGCCAGGGCCAGAGGCTAGGACTTGGGGGGAAGCTCTCTCGGCCGGGGGTCGAGGGGCACAGGGCAGAGGGAGAGATGTCCCCAGAGTTGGTGCCAGGTGGGCCCCGGGGCCCCGGGCTGGGCGCCACTCGTCGCAGGTAACTTTTGTCTCCGCGACCCATTGTTCCTCGCTCCGGGCGCGGGCTGGCTGGGCTGTGCGGGAGGGAGAGAGACATTGCTTTTCTCGGGAAACTGGAAGAAGCCTCGGTGTCCAGCGCAGGCTGCACGGAGCTGAGGGATGAGGGGGAGAAAAAGTAGTTACGACTCCGGGGACGGCGACTCTGTTGCCCGTGGCGCACGGTTGTTGCTGTCGGCCACCTGGGTCTGCAAAAACATTTCCCCGGGAAGCCGTGGCCAGAAACGCGGAGGCTCGGAAGCACTGACCTCGGCGCGCTTTGCCAGGTGCTTTTTGTCCCGGGAATAACCTCCCCTGACTATTGTCTAACTACTTCCCGGTCCCTCCCCCCGGCTCTCTCCCCTCCCCCGGCGGCCGGCAGCTCCCGGCTTTGCCCTTTGCGCGAGGGCACTGAGCGGAGCGGGTTCCGTGTGTTCATTGCATGTTTTGAAAGAGGAGCCTAAGGAGCCACGCCGAGCGGTCCTGGGCAGCGAGGGCTGGGAGCTGGGTCCGGGGAGCCTGACCCCCGGTGTCGGGGCACAGCCATGCCCGGAGCGGGTCTGGGTGCCGGGGACTGCACATGATTGCCGCCCGCTCGGAGTAGCCCAAAGGAGGGGTGCGGCGCGGTCCCTGGGGTTACCTGGAACCCTTGGTAAAGCCACTTCGGGGAGTCCAGGAAAACCGGTCTCTCCCGGCCCCGTCCGGTGTTCCCTTCCCGTTCTGTGATCCTTCCCGGCGGTTGCTTCTTTTCGTGCTCTCCTCTGGGGGCTCTGGAGTTTCACCAGGTGGACGCTGGGGAGCGGGCTCCCGGGCGACGGTCTGCTTCCCGCCGATCCCAGCAACTTTCTGGCCCATCCCCCGGCTCAGCCTGGCTGGCGAGCGCATCTGCCGCCTGGTTGGCGGTGCAGATGGAGACGCCGAGGTGGCCGAGGGGCGCTGGAGAAGACCCGGGGAGCAACAGCCGCGCTCCTGGCGGAGGCCCTAGGACGCGGAGAACCAACTTACTTTGCACACGTCTGTTTCTCTCGTTGTTTTGGCTGCCCGGTTTCCAGGAAATAAACTCAGATCGTTGGGATCCGGAGTACTGTTTATTTCCCTTCCTTCCCCTCTCCCCTCTTTAGAACTCTCTAAAAGGAGTTAGCGGATTCAGGCGTTGTTCACTCAGGCAGATGATGAAATGCAGCGTGTAGAGGAAAAGCTATGTATATGGGGGGTGTATGCAAAGGACAACGGCTCTATGCAATGAATGAATGACCTGATGGCTTAGTTTAGTTCTTTCTGAAGTAAGCATTACTGCATGCACCTGTGACATAGATTGCCCATGAGTATGGGCACCTGGAACCGTGCTTGATCTAAGGCAGTCACTGTATGCAGAAAAGTTGGAGTGGGTATTGATTTCTTCACAGTGTTTATCCCTGCACGGAGAGCCTATGGTTGAAAAAGCATGTAGTTTGATCATTGAAAGTTTGAATTCTACCATCTGCATGAATAAACTTACATGTATTCTAGAGTTGCAACAGTTAATGTCTCAACAGCTGATGGCTGTATTTTCAGCAAAGAAACTTTTCTTCTGTTTTCAAATGTTATTTACCCTTTTAACGAGAGAGTAAATATTAAATTTCCTCCAGCAGAATGTTCATCAGATATCTCTAATGAACAATTGTTTTCCTAGACATGCAGTTCAAGTAAGTTGACTAAACATGCCTGGCTTTTCTGTAGAGACAAAGCAAAACATTTGACTTTATATTACATTTTAAGTAAAAGAATGAGCAATCCTAATATGCAATTCCCCCTGAACTGTATCTCAAAATTTTGCCACTCAGGATTTACATATTTGTCCAGAAATTAATGCCTTTGATTCCACAGTTTAAAGCCAGGTTGTGGATTTGCCTTTCTCCATAAATTAAAAGTTTATTTAGCAAAAAAAAAAAAATCCATTTTCTAGCTATCATAAGTCATTTGGTGTCCTATTGTATTCAGCCTTTTTGGCAGTCAGATTTGTTGCATATACATAGATTGAGATTGGCATGTGTTATTTCTTGCTGATTTTCTGATATTCTTTAAATGAGGAACTTTTATTTTGAGCGACATTTAAATAAAAGTGCTTTAAAGTCTAAAATGAATATGTATTAACAGAATTTTAAAATAACCTGTTTCGTGTATTTTTTAAATCATACCCATTTAGGCCAATGATTTAGATCATAGGTGGTTTCTAATGTAGTAAATTTCAAAAGCAAATTTTGAAAAACAGGATTGTTAGATCTTTGATGTAGGTACTCATCCGGTATACTTTGTTTAATCACAGATTTAAGAATATTTTCATCATTGTGACTTTAGTCTTAGCTTTTAGAGTTAAAGTGTAAAACTATTGCTTGGTGAGCCTCTTTCAAACCAGAACTGCCTATAAGTATCAACTTATATTTATATTCTTTCAACTTAATCTCTCACTTAAAATGAGAGATTTCCCCAGTGTCATATATTACATCTGGGGAAACTGAGGCATAGAAGCACAAAGATGTGTTGAAGTTTATTCACTGGGTTGTGTAACTGTCATCTCTTGATGTAAGAAAGTTTTCTGTACTAGGACTCTGATGACTGACAAACCCAGTCACAGATGAGGTAACTTAGAAACTCAACTTGCTCATCTGTAAAATGGGGATAATAAAATGCATTCTGACCTTTCCACATGGTTTTGATGAGGGTCATATAAAATAGTTTATGTGAACTGGCACTGTAAATTATAAAGCATTATGCAGCTGTCTGGGCTGTGATCATACATTAAAGTAGCTATGTGCCTTGACTTCTGTCTTTACGTACTCCTGCTCTATCTTCTAGTGAGTATAGGCTGTTCAGGTTGTTTCTCTGTGTGTCCCACTCGGCCAGTCACTTATTTTAATCATTATTAAACATCAACATCCCAGATTGGCCAGGCCATAATTTCACAGTGAGAAAAGTTTCCTTTTAATTTTTACTTACCTCATGTAAATCTTGAGTTAAATCTGGGGGAGAGTCATTATTGATATCCCTATATATTCTAGCTAATATATTCTAAGTCCATTTTCTTAGCTGTTAGTTCAGTTAACTGTTGGTTGTTCAGCTTTTTGATTTCAGCGTGGAGAAAAATATGCAGCTTTTTAGTTGCAGTCTTACCAGTGACCTAGAGAGGGACTATTGTCTCTCTGGTATGATGTGAGCCTGGTGTGCAGCTCAGGATCCTGCCTTGAATCTGATTCTGGCATGGCACACTGTAAGAGGCACTCACTGGCTCCTTAGTCCCTGCCACTAAGCAGGGCCCCTTTCCTGGGATCTGACTCCTGGATGTCTTGGTAGCTGAAGTTAATATCTCTAACACGTATTTCCCACTAGGACATTATATCAGAGACAGCCTGTATTAAGGTTTGCCTTTAGGTCTTCTGGTTTGGAATGGCCACAATCCGTCAGTCTCTCAATTCATTAAAACTCCAAGTTCTAATCCCTAGCAATAAAGTGTACCTGGTTATTTCCGGGACTGGTCTTTGTCTCACTGGTCTTCTTATGTTCCACTCTGTTGATTTTCCTAGATTGCAAGATGTCATTTTGTGCCTGGCCTACCCAGACGGGAGAGGCAGCTCTGGCTGCAATTGGGCTTTGGCATGTGTGCTGCTGACAGCTCTTCTCTTTGTATTCATAAATGTGAATTTCAAAGATAAATCAGGCCCCGTGCCACTGCTCCCCTCTCCCACACTCCTTCCCACTCTTCTCTGGCAGCAACAAAGCCCCACATACACATACACAAAATCACAGCCTTTTTGTTTTCACCAAATACCTTTTAGTGCTGGGCGGTCTTAAAACGGGAAAATATGACTCAACCACTACCCAGAGCTAACACCAATCCTCCTACCAAATCGTTTTTTTAAATATACTTTTATTGATTTCAGAGAAGAAGGGAGAGAGAGATAGAAACATCAATGATGAGAGAGAATCATTCATCAGCTGCTTCCTGCATGCCTCCCACTGGGGATGGAGCCCACAATCCAGGCATGTTCCCTCACTGGAAATCGAGCCATGACCTCCTGGTTCATAGGTTGACCCTCAACCACTGAGCCACACTGGCCGGGCCTACCAAATTTTATATTTCTAGCAGTGATGGCTTACTACACATTATCATGTCCTTAAAATTTTTAATTCATGTAATAGGGTCCTGTTTAGAGAAACTGTGCTGTTGCCTTCTAGTCCTTTTGAAGTACAGGGTTCTAGGTCTGCTCACGGTGGTATTAAAGACAGTGTACGTCGTGTTAAGTATGCATCTGCTCCTCAGAGGCACAGAAGATGCTGATGTCATCTGTCCGGTGCTGTTCCCATTTCCCCTACTTGCTCTTTATGCAGGGCCGGAAGTCAGGGATTCTGGAAGACTAAGAGCAGGAAACAGAAAGTTTACAGATTGTTCTTAAAGAAAAAAACAAAGGATGCTGGGGGTTATGTGGGCACATGTGTGAGTGTGTGTGTGTTTGATCTTTATTTTGACTTGTTTATTGGAATCATCCTTTGCCTTTGTCCAAACACTTTCTATTCTAAAAATTTCCCTCTGTGTATTCCTCTCAGACTCTCCCCTTTGATCATGTATATTCGGCTTGTGTTCCTCTATCAAATGGTGTTTCTCTTTGCCTAAAACGGTTATAATTGCTTTTGACTTGTTTTTTCATCAAAACTCATGTTGTTTGTCATGGTTACCGAATAATGGTATTTTATCATATCATGACATGTTTTAAACTGATATTTGATGACAAAGTGAGCAAGTACATTGATCAGGCTAATTTTTATTTCAATTAGAGCCAAAAAGAAACTTGCACACCCATAAAATAATTTTGTAATGTCACAAAAGATGTATTTGTTTGTGCTTATATAGCTCTGAATGGAAGAGAAACGTTATATTCCTTTTTGTAAATGGAAATAGAAATTTTGAGTGCCACATTGCTGGGTATTTTGAGATACATGAGGTAAGTTACATACAGCTATGCTTTGGAAAACATTTAAAAAATATGTTTGAATGTTTGATATCAATGCAAACTCTAGAGGTGGTTTATAAACTTTAAACTCCATCTTAATGAAAATGTGTTTTGGAAAAATTTTCTTAAAGAAACATAGTTCCCCATGTAATGTTTTATTAGTTCCATAAAGATTCTGTTGTGAGAGCTATGTTTGCTTTCCTGTGGCATACTGGTGGGAATTCTTTTGGTTTGCAGCTAATATTCTAGTAATAAAACTGAATTTGCATAATTAAAAAAACCCAGTTTTGTTGAGGGTTGTCAGATTGTTGAGGTTCTGGGAAAACATCAGTTCGGGATGTAAGGATCGCATTGATCGCATTGTGGAACATTGCCATTTCCCCACTTAACTCAGTCCGAACGTTTTGGCATTCTTTTCTGTGTGTTGATAATCTATAAAAATTACAAGTGGCTTATTTTGTCACTTACCATTGTTTTAGGAGCAAATTAAGTAGTCCTTAATGAAATAATCCATGTTTCCACTTTATAAGATTGTAGAGCTCTGTTAGTAAAAATGATGAATAGGGCAGTGCTGGTGGAACCTTCTACAGGTATCATTCTAGAAATTATTTTACTAAGAGGAACTTGGAAATAAAGCCAAATAAAACAGTGCCTCCTTGAGTTTGTTTGCATTTATTTGCTGGGAAAGGTGAAAGGTGTAAATAGGTATTTACACACACATATACATACACACATCTTAATAGTGATAGAACTTCATTGTCCAAAGGTTCAGGTTACAAGGAAGCTAAGGACATCTAGAGATGGGGGTCAAGCCCCTATACTTACATTTTTGTAAAGAATATTGGACTTAGGTAATTCTTTTCTGTATTCCATAGATGAAAAAACTGAAATGGAACATAAGTGAACTGTATAGTATATACTATAGTGTACTATGCTCTACTTTTAATGAAAATATAATAACTCTCCTTCCAGATGGGAATCTATTTATATAAACCCTTCCCAATGCAGCCTGCTCCTTAACCAGCTGGTTGTAGGCTGACTCTCCAAACCCGGTCCAGGGCAGCAGCTGACCAGCTACAGAAATACCCCTAATCCTTGTTTGGCAGTGGGTGACTTAGCAGCTGTAAGTGGCAGACTGGTCACAGGTCCTTGACATGATTTGCCTTAGGGCCGTCGGCAAATTCAAGAGTAGAGAGGAAGCCTTTCTAAGCGCCCTCACTGCCCACCTAGGTCCGACCTAGGGGGTGATAGCTGATAACTTCATGGTCATTGGACCCCTCAATTGCAAAGGGCCCTAGACCCGTGGTCCGAAAACTGTGGCTCGCGAGCCACATGCGGCTCTTTGGCCCCTTGAGTGTGGCCACGAAGTTTCAGTTGCACTTTACGTTCGCGCCCGCACGTGGTATTTTGTGGAAGAGCCACACTCAAGGGGCCGCAGTTTGCCGACCACTGCCCTAGACTTCTGCTACTGGAATTGTGTGGTTAGTGGACCAGCAGTGTTCACTTCACCTGGAAACTTGTGATGGTCTTGTGATGACCTATCAGAGCCCACCCAGACTCTGCATTTTAATAAAATCTTCAGGTGATTTGCTTGAACATATAATTTTGAGAAACACTAGGATGACAAAAAACACACACAAAAAACCAACTCAGCTTGAAAATAATTGCCACATGCACTTTACTGTAGAATTGTAAGAATATTGTGAAAGGATTAATTACAACATGAAACAAATTTCCCTGGAATTAATATTTCTGATCAGTATTTACTTAATTATAATTTAACACCCTACACACATCAAAACAACAATACTATGCAGGTCTTTAAAGAGTACTCAGACAGTTTTGAAAGAAGGATTTTTATAAGATAATAAAAATAAAGCTAAATAGTGTTGGTTATAAACTTGTTGTATAAGCATATTTGAAGGTAAACATATTATCCAAGGAGCCAAACATGATATATGCTAATCATTGATATGTGTATTTATATGTTAATACAGGAAATAGTATTCCCTCTGACATTACTAGTAGCTGCAGTTTCTTGTTTTATATTTCTCTTTTTTTTCTAAGGATAATTTAAGTGTCTTTGTAATAAGGAGCTCATTGATAGGCCAAATATAGTGAATAGGAATGAGATAAAATACATTCACTATCACTGGGGTTCTTTTTGCTATGTTTTGTGTTCATATTTAAGAACAGAGATTCTTGTCAGTTCTCTCAAGAGAAAAATTATGATGTAATAGACAGTGCACACTATTCATGTCAAAACACAATTTTACTTGCATTTTATAGCTTGCTTTAGCATTCTTTTGGAAATGAATTCTCCCAGAAGACCTAATTGCCTTCTTATTAATGAGCCTGTAAGTGTGTTTTGTTACCATTTACTGTTCTAAATGTGTTTAGGTTTGCTGGTTGTTTCAACATTGAAGTCTGATTAAATCACAACTGCTATATTTGTTTTTGCCATTTGCTAGCGATTCAGAAAATACTGGCATAATGACACCGTCATGGCAGAGACTAATGGAAAACAAGTAGTATAAATTAATGTCAACCCATAGTAGTTGGTTGTATTGTGCTATTATTGAGAGCTGGAGTTTAGGGTCTGATACTGTAAATGAAAACCTGCTTACACTGTATTGTTCAAAACATGAAAAGAATAGTTCTGGTTAACGAATAAGCTATAAGGCAAGACTTTTTACAGTGTAAAAAATTTACACTGACCTATGTTTGATATTGATGTTTAAAGGAAGAGGGTTCATTGAGGACAGATCAGTGTTAGAGAACTTGGTAATGGATAGAAGCTCTGAAAGGTACTTCCATACATGTTCAAGGGCCTTAGTGTCTGAAGGCTTTGACTTGTTACTTTTTCTAATTTTAAAATTCTAGAACTTGACTTTTGTATTAGTTCTCTAATTTTATTATTGTCAGCAGTAATCCAGTTTATCTATTCTCTTACACATTGGAGAGCAGAGATTTCCTGAAAGCAATTGCAAAAACAATAGAAGCTGCCATTTATTGAGTGCGTACGACCTGCCAGGTCTTATGATCAATGTTTTACATAATTTTAAATTCTCATGATAATTCTTTGATATTGAAAGCATCTTCATTTTGCAAACTGAGGCCAAAGAGAGGTTAAGTAATACCTTGCCTTAGATGACAGCATGAGGAACTAGTAGAGCCAAATTCATTATTGAGTATATACACGTGTGTAACAATTAGACATGTTTTGGGTTACATATTGTCAGAAAGTGCAACCCAGACTGCTTGCAACAAAAGGGGAATTTATCGTGTCCTCCAGCTGACAGTCAAGATGGAGCTTGACTTAGGACAGTGATGGCGAACCTTTTGAGCTCCGCGTGTCAGCATTTTGAAAAACCCTAACTTAACCCTGGTGCCGTGTCACATATAGAAATTTTTTGATATTTGCAACCATAGTAAAACAAAGACTTATATTTTTGATATTTATTTTATATATTTAAATGCCATTTAACAAAGAAAAATCAACCAAAAAAAATGAGTTCGTGTGTCACCTCTGACACGCGTGTCATAGGTTCACCATCACTGACTTAGGAGTTCACATAATTCCTTTGGGACATGCTCTCTCTCTGCCTTTGCAACTTAGTTTGCTAGTTCTCAGAGGTGGGGGTGAGGGTGGGGCTCCAGGAGCTTTGTTCTGAGGGCCCATATTTAGAGACCAGGTAGGTTCAGCAGCTCCCAAGCCACAAGGTCCCAGGTTCTAGTCCGTTAGGAAAATATGAACTTATGTGCTGGTTGCACCTGAAAAGGCCCTGAGGTTCACTCTGAATCAAGTGGATCGTGTGTCCAGCCCATGACTGAGGGAAAGTCCGTGTGCTGATTGGCTTAGTGTACTAGGATTCTGGATTCAGCTGTAGGT